CCCCACCCCACTCCAGCCTGGTGCGCTCCAGTGCTTGTGAATTTGCCATTCTTGCTCCCTCCTCCATCTTTCATGTCTCATGGCATCAGCCTCTCCCCTCTTTCTCTAGTGTTGTGGAGATGAGAAGTGGGGAGACTGGAGGCCTCACCTGGCAATGGTCCTGTCCAACTTGACCAATAACATGGACGTGGAGTCAAGGACGATCATCACCATGGGTGACACACTGGGTAATCCTGCGAGGCAGTGGGGGCTGGATGGGTGGCAGTTAATCTGTCTTCTGGAGTAGAGGGACTTCAGTAGCTGAATTTATGAAGGCCTTATGGCCACAGTAGGCAGGATCTCTTAGCAAGGGTTACTGAGGTGGGGTGACAGGAATTCTAGCAACTGAACGATCTCCCACCTACCGCCAATGTAACCAAAGCCTGTGCTTAGCAAGGATCATGCAACTGCCCTTAGGTGATAAATATCGGAAGGTGAGCCATATAGGTTTTTTAATCATTTTATCCAGTTTATTATATTTTATAACAAGATGAGGGGAAAAAATAAAAATACAAAAGATGGTCAAAGAATTAAATACAAAGAAATACAAAATACAACGAATAAATACAAAAAGCCATACTAATAAAAATTAAAGGCAATACTAAGCATGTAAAGATTTCACTTGTATATTAGATGTATAGAAGCCACTGGTTTACAGAAAATCTTTATAATGCTGTATTATTATCAAGTAGAAGAAGAAGAAAAAATAAAATGATACTACTACTCCGTGGTTGTAAAACATCATGAAATTTGATTCAAAGAGAAACATATTGCTTCATTTTCTGATTAGTGGGGAAAAATTGTCAGCCCAACAAGGTAGACCAGACTGAAAAACCCACCCCATATAGGTCAGGACTACTTTTATTGCAACAGCATAGTAACAGAATCTTTGCAAGTCTGAAAGTGCTCCCAGCCCCCCCAATCCCTTTATCTTCATGAGAACTAGGGAGAGGCCTGTCATTTTCTGAAGTTATTTTTTTGGCCCGGGCTCAAGCCCCTCTTTTTTTAACAAAAAATGCCTTTTTGAAAACAGATAAATTAGACATTTCCAAAATATGAGTCTTGATTTTTGGAATACTATCACTTTTCCAATTTCTCAGAATAATTATTTTAGCAACCCCCCCAACTATAATGTCTCAAAGACAATCAGATTCTAGAGTTTTGGATTATACTTCAATGTAACATTAATATCCTTAACCTTATGGGATTTCTCCATAAGTCTACTTATTTACAATATGTTATATATGTATGTATAAAAAGTTACCATCTACAATTCAGAAGAGGCAGTTACTCCAAAAAGATGGGACCAGCAAAACTAAGGATGCCCGATATGCAGTCTGGGTGCAAATCTGGAATGAGAATTAGCATTTTTTAGTAAGGAAGGTGACCCTAAACGGGAGGAAACCTGAGATTTCCCACCTGTTCCTGGGAGACGGTCAAATCCCAATTGTCTCCCTGGTCAATGCTTAAACCAGGATAGCTGCCATGGTGGGTATTGGGAAGATCAGCTGTTTGATTCATAGACCATCCTCCGCACCTTGGTGGTCCTACCTGAATCAGGCCTTTGAGGCTGTAAATCCCTAGACTGGATCAGGGATGCTCCCAGTGGGATCCTCCTTCCTCAGAGGATGCCTCGTTTGTCTTTGGTTGCAGCTTCCAAAGGCCTCTTGGATGCCGCTCACTTCTGCTACCTGATGGCTCAAGTTGGCTTTGGGGTCTACACAAAGAAGACCACCAAGCTGGTGCTGATCGGCGCAAACCACAGGTGCGGGGGACGCCTTCCGGTTTTCTCCCTCGGGGTTCAGCTGCTGCCTAGGTTGCCTCCCGCCTCCTCCACTACAGAATCGGGACTCTAGTTCTCCTCCAGGGGAGCCGGGTTTGCCACCTTCTCCGTGCATTGCTGCCTCTCCACACGCCCCTGCAGCGTCTTTTGCAGCTCAGGCCATTGTGGTCGCGCAGCCTTGCTTGCATAGCGGAGATGTGGAGGACTTGGTGCAGCTCAGGGGCGCTCTCTTCTACTGCTCCGTAGAGAGGCTTGCGCACCGAAAACAGCTGTGTTGATTGGCAGGTAAAAGAGGAAACATTTCATTGTGGCTTGCCAAGCCTTCAGCGCGCATAGTTTTATTCTGTCAAGTAGGAATTCCAGCAAATGATCCCAGGACCTGTTCTAGGCTTATGAAGGATGGTCACTTGCTCTCCCACCCGGTCCTTGGCTTTATGGCCCTTTGAAGGGACAGAGCTCCCCCGCTTCCGCCTTCTGAGTGGCCCTTGGGCCAGACTCGCTGTTGACAGCGATGCTGAACTTCAGAAGCTGCTTTGGCTCATTGAAGAATGAGGCATTTCTGTTTCTTCTCTTAGCTTGCCTTTTATGAAGTTTGCCAGCAGTGAGGCTATTCAGCGGACAGAAGCCTATGAATATGCCCAGTCCCTGGGGACACAGCCCTGCTCTCTGCCCAACTTCCAGGTTGGTATATCTCTTTGTAACATTGCTTGGCTCGCCACTGCACTTCATTTCTTGCGAACCACAGCGATGCTTGGGTTAGTTGTAAACTTCGTTGCCTTCCCAAGCTGCTTCTAGTCCGTGTTGGAAATCTGGTGCATGGATTGGTGGCTGCAGATCAGGAGCCCCTTGCCCTCCCCGGCCTGTTGGGGCTGAGCACAATGTGGCGCATGGCTCAAGGGAGCTCCTGAGCAGCGTTTGTGCTGGGGTGAGGGCTGGTGTGTTCTCCTCCGTGTCCATGCCTTGTGCTGTCAATGCAGAAAGCAAGGGAGGGGAAGAACAGCAGTGGCAATCCAAGAAGGTTCCGGGTAGAGCTGCAGACAGCAGGAAATGTCACAGGTGAGGTCTCTGCAACATCAGGACCATGTGCAAAGTACAACTGGCTTGGGGAACTTTCCGGCAGACTACCGGTAGTCCTCACTTAACAACCCGTTTAGTGACCGTTCGAAGTTACAAGGGTGCTGAACAAAGGGACTTACAACCAGTCCTTGCACTTACAACTGTCACAGCACCCCTGTGCTCATGTGATCTCAATCCGGGCGCATGGCAAGCTTGCACTTATGACAGTTGCAGCGTCCTGGTGTCACATGATCACTATTTGCAACCCTCCCAGCCAGCTTCTGGCAAGCAAAATCAGTGGAGAACTGCGTGATTCGCTTAACAACCACGTGATTCGCTTAATGACCGCTGCAAACAGGTCGTAAAATCAGGTACGACTTGCTTAACAACCACCCTACTTAACAATGAGTTTTCTGGTCCTTATTGTGGTCGTTAGCGAGGACTACCTGTATGGGCCCTGTTTAGAAAGGTGCACAACTCTTTAACAATGCAGCTGCTTTTATTTTGCTGTGAAACAGAGATCCCCTGCTTGGAGCTCTCAGACCACTTGTGGCCCCCCCAAAACCTTTGATATGAACCCCTGGGTGCTCCATATTTTTTTTGTATAAACTTCTAATTTTTAGTGTGACAGAAGAGGAAAATTATTAAATATATGACAAAGGAGTAAATGTAGTAATTAACGTTAATTAAATGGAAGTGAAGTGTAATCAGAGTTAGCCTTTGTTCTGGCCAAGTCCAGTCCTGGGTCTGTATGAATCAGAATCTTCTTGTGTTTCCAGGTTTTCAAGTTCATCTACGCTTGCCGGCTGGCTGAGATGGGACTCACTGCACAAGCGTTTCATTACTGTGAAGTGATTTCCAAAGCCATCCTTAAAAATCCCAGTTACTATTCACTGGTTCTTATCAACCAGGTGATCCAGGTACTGTATGCTCTGCCGCAGGATAACTCACCTAAACCTTGGGGGGTGGGGGAGCCAAGGATGGCTGCCCTTTCCATGGACCCTGGGACTCACAAAACGCCACCTTTTCCCGTGTATGATCCCTTTACCCAACCTTTGCCAACTTGGATCCCTCCAGATATGTTGGATCACAAGTGCTAGAATTCCCAGGCTGTGGCCATTCTGAGATTTCTAGAGTGGAAGTAGAAGAGGAAGACTGTCTTAGCACCTGGGCAGACAGTGGGATGGCCGGAGACAACTGCAGTAGTCTCTCATTTTCAGGATCAACCGAGCAGTGCTGGGGAATGTCTCAATCTGACTTATTTCCTGTCCTTCACTTTACAGATTTCCTCCCAATTGCGGCTTTTTGACCCCCAGATAAAAGAGAAGCCTGAGCAGGAATTATTTATTGAGCCTAACTGGCTAGTTCAGCTTCGACACTTAGATGGGCAGATTAAGGTGAGTTTAACATCCTTTCGGATGTTTGCAGCCAGTTGACACAGATTGGTCCCATGCTGTTCAGGGCTAATTACTCCTGAGAAGGCGCATAGAGATGCCACCTAGGTCTCTTTTAAAAGCTCTGTGGAAACATCTCTGAGACATGTTTCCTCTGTAGCTTGTAAAAAGTTGGCTGTGGTCAGATCAATAAAAACAAATAACGGGCGTTTTGCAGGTTAGGGTCAGTAATCCCACCATCCTAGTGATAACAGACAGGACCATTTCCGCCCCTCCTCCAAGGCTTCTACCTGAGAGAGTTCAGGCAGAAGGCAAGACCAGCAAAGCCTCCATGGATGATGACTGAATTTTGGATCACTCAGCAGGGTGATCCTCTGTAAAATGCCTCTCCCATCAACCTGAGGCAAGAGAGCCAGAACTGGTGGCGTAACTTCTTAACGTAGTTAAGAAGAAGGTGCAGGGCTGTAGCAGCTGTGTGTGAGGAGCCAAGGTAAAGAGGCCCCTAGGAACAGAGGAAATTGCTTATGCCCTCTAGGCAGAATCTGTTAAGTTAATTGCTCACAGCTCTCAGGTTTCGAGGCAGAGAAATATTTTTCCCTTGCTTCAGTAGTAGGCTCTGTTGCATGAGATTTTTGGCCAGCTCATTTCAACGTCTTTTGTGATCTCATCCAAGAACACTGATTTGATCGTCCTGTGAGATTTCTGCCATAAAAAAGCAAGCTCACAGTGATCCTCACCTTTCAGTCCTCATTGATGGGCAGTGCACATCCCCTCCAGATGCCCTACAATTCCCAAATGCCTTGCAATAACAACGGGGGGTTGTGCCTTGGGCTGGGCAGTGCCATCCAATGGCTAATTCTCAGGGGAAAGTGTCTATTGGCGTCCCTCTCGTTCCAGGAGGGCTCCTTCGGGTGCAGCGTGGGGCGCTCCACACCCCAGCAGTATGCCTCCAGCACACCAAGCTCAGAGCTTGACCATGCCAGTCAGAACGAAGGCCTGGGAGGTGGCCCAGAAGTGAGCTCCAACAACCCGTTGTTGGCCTCCCTGCTCCCCAACATGGTCCATCCCGTGCAGAGTGTCCAGCTGATGCCTTCAGGTGTGTGGGTGTGTTGGGGGAGGCTTCCCTTCACCAGAAGCATGGAACTCAAGAGAACCAGGCACCAGGCAACCCTGTGGGAAGCTGGGCCAGATATCTGGGGGCTGTCTGTTTGTTGGGAAGCATCCCACTTGCTCCGTGGATTACGGCCACACAACCGCCTGCGCGAAGGACACAGGCTGCTGGGAGGCCAGCGGTGGCATCCGCTGAGGGCCCCTCCAGGCCCTTTCTGCTCATGTACGAATTGTAGTCCAACAGAGGGACAATCGGGGTCTGAGGGTCAGTCTGGACACTTGCTTATTATGAGATGCAAACACCTTTCTCTTTCAATCCTTCTCTAGCTCCTCCGACCATTCTGGATGGCTCAGTGGCTCTGGCCCCACCTTCCCAACTGGAGCCTGCCAGTGCTGTTCCTTTCTACCCTGTAGTGCCTCCCTCAGTGGGCCCAGGACCTGGCTTTCTGAGCCCCCTTGGAACTGAGCAGAACCCCATGTACTTGGGGTCGACGGTGCTGTCAGCAGGCCCACCTGCTCAGAGCTCTGAGCTACAGACACAGGAGCAGACCCAGCAGGAAGCAGGTTTGCCTTGGCTGAAGGAGTGGGGAGGGATCAGCTAGCAAACTCCTGATGATGCAATCTGGGTCCCATCCCTAGAGATCCTGTCTCGGACTGCATCGCTACAGCTGGGGAGCACTGCAGGGCCTGCAGCTTTTCTGCAAAATTCCTAGGGAAGGCAACATGGAGAGAGAGAGAAGAAGGTTCTCCTAATGGCCCTCCCATTTAGAAAGCGTGTTTAGGATCTCATTCTCCTTGGGGAATTCAGCAGAGCAGCTTCTCTTTGGATTCCTGGGTCGCCCTGGGACGGAGCTTTAATTGCAGTCCCATGTCAGATTGATAGTTATAGGTAGTTGTGAGTGGCTCCTAGATGGGCCTGGCCACTCTGCATTCTCGGAGGACACCAGTCCTTGGATCTGGAGCCCCATGGGTATGTCTGCATTCCCCTTCTCAGGGACGTAACGGAGAGACGTGAAGGGTTATGCCTCAAGACTCGAATTAAGTTTGCTGTTTAGCAGATGGAATTCTTCCCGAGGGACCCGATGCTGTCCCTCTTTAGCATTGGCTCTGATCTTCTTCCAGTATTTCTGGCCTTCCAGGGACCAATTCCCCCAGGACAGGTACTGTGTTGCCTCTCGAGACCAGCCGGCTGGAGTCTCAAGTTGCGCAACTGCTAGGCTGTAATGGAGCTCCCCCATTTTCATGACAGGGGGATTTGCAAGTCAACTTTAGCCTTCTTAACTGCAGTACGTTTGCAATAGCTTTCTGTTTCTATGTTGTTTCTCACATAATCCCATCTCAGAGACAGGTAGAGTTTATCCCGAAAATCTGGGGCAGATAGCCAGTGTTGTCCTTTCTCTTTAGGCCCTGCCTTGGAAAGACGTGGATGCCACGGGAATATGGAAACCTGGGTGGATGGGAAGTGGCTGAGAGGAACTACCTCCAGATCCAGATTTCAATGTATCTCTCCCTGTATTTCCCTTTTCTTCCTGGGGAGCTGATGAGTGAAAGATGACTTCTCTTTTCCAATAAAGACTTTAATAATCAATTAGTCTCCTTTGATAGGCAAGCTTGGAACTGTTAATTAGCTGAAGCCGTTTAGCATCGCAACAACCAAGAAGGAGCCTCTTCCCTCTCATTTGTGAACATGAAGCTTACTTGTCCTGCGCTCTCTCTCTCTCTCTCTCTCTCTCTTTCTCTCTCTCTGCATGTCCACAGTGGTGGCTGAACCTCCTGTTTGGAAGGCGATTCCAAAGTCCGGAGAGGAGGACTTCTATGGGAAGATGGCGAACATGGTATTGGCCAGTTTCTTTCTCTCTTTTTAAGCGTATTAGTGACCTTCGTTTTGCGGCCACGTTGTGCCGGAGGTCTAGTGGGAAGTTTCCAAGCCTGCCCTGCGTGCTGTGGCTTAGCTTGGGCACCCTGGTTCTGGAATGCAGAAATTCTGAAGAGGTTCTAGAATTCTCTTTCTGTGAGCACTTCGGAAGGAGGCTCTTGGTCAGCTGCACCTTGCCTGAAAAGCTATTGCAATGTTGGTGATGGCCTTGGACTACCTCTGAGGCATGTGCACCACAGGCAGAGCCTCAGGCTGAAGGCAAGTGGGTCTGGTGAATCAGGATCCGGGTTTCCTGAGCATGAAGAATGACCTTGATCCTTGTCTCCCTTCAATCTGGAGGTCAGAGACCAGGAGCAGAATAGTCTGGTGAGTAAAGAGGATTCCGTGTATGAGTTCCTGGATTGCACTTTCTTTTTTTTCCCTTGCAACATGACAAATCCGTCACTGGGATTGGAGCCAATGGGAACTCTGCTGGCCACGACTCTTCAGAAGTAGTCTCTGCTCCTTGTTCATGTGCCGGCTTTGTTTCTATCCAGGGCCCAGGCCGACGATCCAGATCGACCTCTCAGTCTTCGGCCCACATGGTATGCCCTGAAGCTGATTTGCTGCCACTAAATCTTTTGTCCACTTCTGTGTCTTTTCATCACCACTTCTCATCTCCTTTGCTTATTAGCACTTCTTCCTTCCTTCCTTCCTTCCTTCCTTCCTTCCTTCCTTCCTTCCTTCCTTCCTTC